ATGATATTCATCATCAAGTGTGTTCAAACTCAAATCGTCTGCATATTTCGAGAAGCTGTTATGATAAGAAATCTACTGAAGTCATCTTTGTACCAGGAAACAAGGTGTAATTGTATAATCCCAGGAAGACCAAAGGGCAGTCTCCTAAGTTGTCTTCTACATGGGAAAGCCCATATGACATAATGGATCATCTCTCAGATGTGACTTTCCGAATAAAATGTGATCGGCGAGGTATGCCGAAGGTGGCGCATGCCAACTGGGTTTGGCGTTATCACGGTCCAGGACATTTCAGTTGGAACGAAATGAACAACAGAACAAATGACACTGCTGAAGACGTGTCACCTGGAAAAGCCACTGTTGAAGAAGAAACTGTACCCGGTTTTGAGAGGGAAAACAGTGAAGCTGTTAATGAAGTTACTACCATTAATGTGACTGCTACCGATAATGGGACTGCTCCTGATGGAGCAGATGAATCCCGCGTGAAGCAGAAGCCAATGAGGCGGAGACCAGTATGAGAGAAGAAACGTCCTGTAAAATCAAAAGACTTTGTTGTATTTTAATTTTGTGTTTGTAAATTCTGTACATTTAATTAAGTTATTGTTAATTATCTATTGGTTTAATTTAAGTGACTATTGTTCCTGACGAACAATACTAAGGAAGGGTCATTGTTGCGACAGTGGAAGTCACGTGACTCTGGTAACACGTGATGAGTTTCTAGAAGAATCAAGGAACATCACGACTAATCCAGTATTTACTAGACGCCCTCTATTCCTGTATATAAGCGCGCCAGATAAATCGAGACAATTAATCGGAACTGGAATATCAGACAGAGAGATTGAAGATATAGTCAGATAATCGAGTGAAGCCGTGAAGTGTGTAAATCATTGTGAATTATAGCGTGTGTTTAAGTTAAAGTGACTGTGGAAATTAAGTGTATTGCAAAGTTGTATTGAGAAAGAATAAACTAGTTTTATTTAAGAAAGGACTTGTATCGCTGACGTTCTTCGGAAAGAATTTTTACGGAAAATTAACCAACGAACACAGAGGCGTAACTGTATTGATAATTTTAAATATTCCAAGGTCGCGTTAAATAATTTAATTTTTAATAGTTGAGACGCACCTTTGATTTAGGTTTAGAAATATGCCGATATTTTATTTAATTTGCGCTATTTGTCAACAAGATTGATTCACACCGGTTTGGGTTTAATATATATATATATTTATATATATATACAACACTATAATTTACAATAGCAACTATTGGTCCCCCAGTGGCACAGCGGAATGTCTGCGGACTTACAATGCTAGAATCCGGGTTTCAATACCCGTGGTGGGCAGAGCACAGATAGCCCTTGTGTAGCTTTGCGCATAATTAAAAACAAGCAACTATTGTGATTAATTATTACAAACAATGTTTTATAGAGAGAAATTTCACTAAGTTACAAATAGCCTAAAACCGTCTTCCTAGTTCAGAATCTCCTTGATATCCAGCTAGTTGTACGTATGTGTATAATTTGGCGGGAAACTAGCTAGCTTTGTCAGGCACTGAATTGTTGAACCGTTGAAGTAAGATAATATTTACATAAAATCACTAATGTCCGATGAGAAAATAGTAATGTTCTTGGAGAGATATTAACGTTTGATGGGAATTCACTGACGTTCGAAATTTATAACTGTTCCTGGTCAAATGTCGTGTATTTTCTGGTTGATAGGGGTTAGCAAAATCACATTTTATAGCTCACAGTGTTATAACAGTTTCATAGTAGACTTGTCTCTTCTCTGTTGTCTACTGTTTTTTTTTTGCGCGATGCTCTGATGTTTTTATAGGTGAGACACATTTTCTAGAACCTTCTAATAATACCGGATATAGAAATGGATAATATTGTTCATTCTTGTTCACGAATGCTCTACAATCTTAGAGAATTGGCCGAAATTTCGCCATACATAACGATAAACAATACACGCCCTCAAATATAACATTATTCGAAACAAAGGTTGACATCAAAATAAATATATAACAAATTCGTTATACGCAACACATATCTGATAATACAAGTCACGCTTATTTCTAAATACAAATTCAATCCAAACAACGTTCATATTAAGAATAGATATATTTAATAATAAATTTTTTACAACACACTGTAAAGTAATACAATAAAAAACATTTTAAGTTATTTATTTATTGCAATAATAGCATGATATGTAACATTAGATGAAAAGTACACATTAATAACACAACTTACATATGTAAATTCAATGATATTGTCATTAATGCCGATAGTTAAGACGAATATTGCAGCCGACAACATGAAGAAACTCTGCCACAGTCTGACGAAGCTCCTTACGGATTTGCTCGTGATCTGAAGCATGGTTGTGAGGTTGGCTTATCTCTGGAATATCTCTCCATAGGTCCGTCGTCATACTTCCCCGACAGCGACTACTGAATCTTTTAACACATTTCCACAATAAACCTTCCCCTTTGGTGGATTTGATTATTCGGGTATATTATGTTCTGTCCTTACCTCCCGTTTCCTATGTTCCACCCTGCTCTTCTCTGGGACTAGCCTTTGGGTCATTATTTTAGTGTTTCCTCCTTCCCTGGATATTGGGGTTCGTGTCAGTCATTTTGGGGAGCATTTGCGTTCGGGGGTGGTGTGCCTCAACCACCACGATCATGCTTTTGATTATCATCGTTTCAACTTCCCTCATTTGGACTCACATCATTGGTTTCACTTTTCCCTTTGTGAGAATTGGACCACGATAGTTCCATTACCTCTTCCTATATTTATCTTACACTGAACACCCTTCTTGGGTCAGGGCTGGTGGGGGCTAGACTCCTTTAATTTGCCAAATTTGGAGGTCCTTTGTGGTCGATTCATGGGTTATGAAAGTCGTTTCATCTCCTCCATTCTCTCATAATCCCGTTTCCTTTCCTTCTTCCGTTTTTGCCCAACTGATTCATTCCATTTCCACTGTTCTATGAACATATTTCGCTGCTTCTTGCCTCCTCACAATACGACTTAGTCTTACATCCTCAGTTTCTTTTCCAGGACACTGTCATGGTGAGTTGGCTTGTCAAAGTGGAGCAATATTTTCCTCACACCCATATAATGTTTTACTTTATCTCTGGGTGTTTTTAAACTTTCTCTTCTGTGTAACAGACAGTGCCCTTAGGGCTAGTCGTTGGAGTTTCGACTATGCCACTGAATACACCAAATTTATTTAATTGAGGATTGCAGTGGCGAGTGGAGCTCACAAGTCGCTAACTCGAGGTAATTTACAGTTAAAATAAATAAACGGATACCAAGACTAACATTGAACAAAATACAGCAACATTTATTAGGTAGTTCTAACACTTTATTGGTCAATCTGTGCAACTTCCCGGGCTAATCCAAAACAAAAACCAAAACTCTCTGCTACTTTTTGGTTTACCGAGTATTCTTGTTTCCAGATGTTGGTTGATTGACTCCATCAACGTGATCGCTCTGCTTTTGAAAATAGAGTATCATAGTCACCCATTGCACTATCTTTGGTCCTTCAGACTCTCCAACACATTTTGTCCCCTTCTTTTAGTGGAGTATGGGTGTTCTTGCCACATACCAGCTCCTAGCTGCTGGGGTGGTGGCCCATGGAGGTTTGTCCTCTTGAGTGTGCACAATACCACTCAGCTGAGAGTAGGACATTAACATCTTGCCAGTGCAAATGGTGTGATGCACTCCCTACCGTGGACCTGATGTTCAATTCCAGATGCCACTAGGTAATGGATGTAGCACTACACCAGTGATAGAAATGGGGGTACACGCAGGTACACGCCATGTGTCTTGTTCTCAGTTTGCATTATTTTCCCCATTAGTCAAGTTTAGTACTACTTAAGATGTATATTAATCCCATCGTCAGGGGTCAAAGGCCATGTCATTGCGTTTGTTGACTACCATTCCAAATTTAATTGAACTACATTTTATGAATTTATGTCGGTAAGTTTGGTATCAAGTTATATATTATAATTCAAATTTTAGTATTATATATTACTCAATTTCTTAATTTAAAAGTAGATATTAAAAGAACACACCTAAATATTGATTTTTGTGTGTCACGTGGTATGTTGAATGCAGTATTGGTTCAAATTATATGTTTGTGATGTTCAACTACAAAGCCTAAAGTTTCTTATGAATTAGGAACTCAAATAACTGATATTGAGAAGCTAGAATACAAAATAAGAACCTCCTGTCTTTTCTGTTCACTAGGCACCCTCCTTCCTACTATCCAGTGGATGTCAGTTCCCGGGGATTGGGTGTTGGATGAATCTGGATAAGCCACATTAATCCTCATATATGTTTGGATGGCACTCTCCTTTATAACTGCATATGTTACACTTTCCTATTCTCTATATTTGTCTCGTTTCCTCTTTTCTACACAGGCAGTGCCCCGCTATATCGATTGATGGGATTCTTTCTCACACTTTCACACTACACGCAGGAGTCTCACATGGTTCTGTGTTGTCTCCCCTTTTGTACATTCTCTATGTTGCTGATATGCCTTGTCCCCAGCCCCCTCTTCGGTTGTTTCAATATGCTGATGACACAGCTTTGGTAGCCCATTGTTCCACGATGTCAACTCTGAACAAGCTACTCCAGGCTGCTGTAAATTCCTTTTTTGTCTTGGTGTCACTGCTGGCAGCTATCCCTTAATGTCCCAAAGACACGAGCTATTATTTTTGGTCCCACTCGTCATAAGTTTCGCCCTTGCTGTGACCTATCTCTATTTGATCTCTGGGTTGACAATGTCCTGATCCTCCTTTTTGACCTATCTAGGCATTGTTTTTGATAAGCATCTTACTTGGAAGCCATACCTATCTACCCTTTCTGGAAGGTTACTCGACGTCTTCATCTCCTCTGTTCTCTCAATGGTACCTTCTGGGGCCTGAACCCTCCTCTTCTGCTATACACATACAAGACATTTATCAGACCCTGCTTAACCTATGGACATACAGCCTGGATATCTGTTTCTCTGACCTTCTACTCTCGTCTTCAGGTTTTGGAATGCCATGCCCTCCGGGTTCGCCTTTGGCATCAAACTCCCTAGTCCCACTTCCGACCTTTATCATCATATCAATTTTTCTCACATTCTATTACACCTTCGACAGCTTCGCACTTGCTATGTTAATAAATGTTTTCGTGACCACAATCTCATCCTCTCTGATGTTTTCGCCATCACTGTACCCACTCCGAGAAGCATTTTTGCACCAGCTGATCACCTACTGAACCTCTATGTCATGTCCCCCCCATCTGACAATCCCGACCACGACGAGATGCCGATGTCCCCTCTTTCCCCATTTATCTATCCTGATCCATAATACTCGATATACCTGTTGTCTCCTCCATCTGCAAATATCGCGTTTTCCCCATTTTCCGTCTCCTGTGCTGACTTGCACGCTTGCCCATCTATTATTCATTTTACCCATTTTTCTTTTTTGGTCCCTTGGCTGACGAGAGGGCGTAACCCTCTACCGGCTCGCCGGTCCCTCCGGGATCGGAATGAAATAACGCTTATGTTGTGTTGTTGTTGTTGGTTTGATATTTCATTGGTGGTAGTGTTCAGGGTCACTGATGTGGAGTGGAATTCTCCGAAACTAGTCTGGCTCAC